TTTGTGATCATTTATAAAACGAATGTATCGAAGAGAAAAACGTTTTCATGTTTATTCTGAAGAAAATGCTTTCTATGATAGTAAATCAAAAATTATTGATGGGAACACAATTTATCAGGAATGTGATATAGCCATTTGTTTCTCGTGTGATCAATCCTGAATTTACTGCGCCACCCGACGCGATATTTTTTTTTACCATATTTTGGTATCTAGAAAGGCAAGTAAATAGGCGCACACTCCATTCATATTTACTAACTAACAGGTCACAGAGAGAAAAAATAGACCCGTCTTTAAGACGTATTAACTGATAGATTATGACATCCTAGGACATATTAATTGACAGAATATGATGTCCTAGGACATATTAATTGATAGATTATGACGTCCTAGGACATATTAGTCTTGAGTAAGTAGTATTCTAGGACATGTTAATATATTAATATATTAACATGTCCTTGAATACTACTGGAGTAATGTATAAAAAATTACTAAGTTACTATAAAGTAAGTCTTATCATAATTAACTTTAAGTTTATAATTTAGATGAGTAAAAATAACTTTAACAATTTGTAAAAACAATAAACATAATTGACATATTGAATGATTTTAATATGTATAGTTTAGAAAGAGATTTCTTTATTGTAGAGATTGTATTTTAATCATCCTTAACCTTAAATTCTAATCTTTAATTCAAATTATTAAGCTATTACTATTATCTCTACCCTTTTACAAGAATAATTTTCTATCCTATTTATATAAAGATGTAATTATAAGAAAACTACTATTTAATGTTATTTTATATAAATTAATTTATAATATTAAAATAAATATAAGATCTAAAATATAATTTAACTATAATAATAATATATAAATAATAAAATATATAATAATAAAATATAGGATAAAAATAAATAATATAAAAATATTAAAGAAGTTAAAAATATTAAAGGTATTAATAAAGTTAATTATTTATTAATATTTGTTATATAGTAAGTTTGACTTTCACATAATATTACTAGATAAGTCATTTTTTGAATATATTTACTGTAGTTTACGTGATGATAATGCATATCAAATTTATAGAAAAAATCTTATACATTATTATTGTATAAAAAAAAATTAATCAAGGTGGAGTTTTTTTAGAAATAAATATAGAAAAACAAATTTATAATATATTCTTATATCTTTATATTCATTTAATAATAATCAATATATACTAGTTAAAGATATTCTTTTATTTTATCAAAATTACTTAATTCTATTATTTTTTATTTCATGAAACTTGTAAAAGTCAAATAGGTAAATATTTTAAATATTTTATATTAATGAATATTAATTATTATTAAATTATTATTAAAATTATTATTTTTAAGATTTATGAAAAAGTCATTGATTTAAAAATAATCCTATAGGTTATGTAAAACTTAGAAAAATAATGAATAATATTGTATTAAATACTAGAATTAATCTTAATAATAAATGATTAATAACAAACCATTCTTGTTATCATACTACAATACAACTATACAACTTTTAAAAATAATGGATTTTTTGATTCTAATCTTTAATCATTTTTTGGATATAGATCTCATAAAAGTTTAGCAGATTATTGTAAAATTAGTAAAGATTAATACATTTTAAATACATAATTATTAATTCTTTTTATATTATAAGAATCAGATTCTGAAAAATATAAATTTAATGATTATTTAAGAAATTTAAATTTAAATTATAATGAAATCAGTATGGTAAAATTTTTTATTTTATTAGTTTTTTTTATATAATAAATTTATTTACTCAAAAAATAATATTTTATAGATTTAAATAATAATTCGCCTATATCTATTATTCAAAAAATCCAAATTTCTATAGCTTAAATTCAAACTTAAGCTTTTGTAACACAATATATTCAAAATTCAAATCAAGCTAATATATCAGAAAATGTAAAAACTTCATAATAGCACCTTTAAACTACTTTATCACTTTTGTCACTCTAATTTCCTAATGATTACTTTTTACGATAAAAATTGAAAGCATTTATCTAGTACTAATAATTAAAATCCTTTATTTTGCATTAATAATAATATTATAATTAAACTTCTACCTAGTACTCCTTCATGAAATTATAATTAAATATTAATCTAAAACTAACATAATTATAAATAATATGATTACTTTATTATAAAGTGATCAAAATTTATGTATTTAATAATAAAGTAATCAAACTTTGTATATTCTAATATTAAGTAATAAATGAAATTAATTTATTTTAATTTAAAAGTAATTAATAATATTCATGAAAAAGGATCAGTACTCATATAAGACATATACAATAATAAAAGTTTTTAATTTTTTATTAATTATTATAATTAAAAATACATTTGAAAAAAATAAAATACTGCATGAAAACAGTAATTATAACTTTTGATTATTTTATAAATTATTGTTTTATATAATTTTAAAACATAATAAAATTCAAAAAAATATTTTTTTAAAATTTATTCAAAAAATTAATTATAATAAAATAAAGTAATAACTTTTAAATACTTTATTTGATACTTTTTTTTTATAAAGTATAATATTTTTATAAAATACATTTATATTAATATTAATATAGTATTTAATAAATTATACAAATAAATATTCAAATAAACAAAAAAATTTGAGAATTAATACAGTTACAAAAAGTTATTACTCAATGAATATTAAATTAATCTTAATAAAATTTTATATATAAGTAATTTTAGATATATAAAATATTTTTATTTAATATGTAATAAGTGATTTATTTTATCAAAAGTGATTAAATTAATTTGTAAAGTTAAAAAGTATAATTCATTTAGTAAAGTTACAAAAAAATTATTTTTATATGAATATTAAACTAATCTTGATAAAAAATTAGATATAAATAGTATTAAATCTGTTAAATATCTTTTACTTAGAGATAAAAGATAATTGACTTTAATTAAAGTACTCAAATTATTCTGTGAAATTAAAAAAAATATACAACTTATTTAATAAAGTTACAAAAAAAAATTACTGCACAAATATTAAATTAAACTTGATAAAAAATTAGATGTAAATAGTATTAAACCTGCTGAACTACTTTCACTTAAAGATAAAAGATATTTGATTTTAACTAAATGCTCATTTTTCATTATAAAATCTCTGTATTAATATTTATAAAAACTATATATAAAATTAAAATCTAAAAAATAATAACAAATTAAATTTAATAAGATTTCTTACTAGAGTTTTCGTTTAAAATTCAAATTGCATTTCAAATATTTGAAAGTATTTTAAAATAATTTTAAATGAATATCAAAATAATTTTGAATATCAAAAGTCATTTTAGATTATCAAATTGATTTCAAATTAGTTTTGAATATTAAAAATCAATTCAGATATCAAATTATTTTAAATATTTAATATTGAATATATATTTTTTTCATATTATTAGTGATAATCTATATGCATCACTAAATGATTGCACTAACTAATATTACCAATGATTACTAGAAAAATTGTGATCATTATTTTCATTAATTTCACTACTATCATAGTTATCATAGTGTTATAATAGTTTTATAACTTCAAATAAAATCTCAAAAAGATAAATAAAACTAAGACAATTACTCAAGAAATTATAGATGAGAATTCACAATAATGTTAAAATTATTCTCAATATAAAATACATAAGATAAACACAAAATAAACATAAAGATACTCAAAGATATTTTAGAGATTACACTTCAAAGACTCTAAATCAATACAATAAATTAATATAATATTATATAATAAGTTCACTAATAATAATTAAAGGGATTTACACGAATGCAAAGAATTACAAATAATTTATAACAGTTTCAAAAGGTTGCGAAGAATAAGTTTAATACTTAGTTAATTATACTTCTTTATTAATATAATATATAAGTTCAGTATCTAAAAGATTAATATCTTATTAATGCTGAAACTTAAAGAAAATATAAAGATATTTATATATGTTGAATAAATAATAAAATAAACTAGGCTAAATATATCAAAAGAAATAAAGTTGCTGTATTAATAAAATTGCCAGATCTGCAGGCAACTAAATGGACATCTATAATCTATGTAATTATCAAGAGCAATAAAATTGACATCTAGAGATTTACATAATTGATCAATGGCAATAAAATAGACAAAATAATTTTCCTAAAAATCTATATAGCAATAAAATTGACTTCCTAATCTACCAATTAAATCTATCTAAAATTTTATTTATCATAACGGCTATCATCATAATATTTATTATAATATTTATTATTATTTTATTTACTATATTTATTTTTATAATTATATTTATTTTCTTTATTATATTTATTATCTCTTTCTTATAATTGTATTTTATATAAATATCTTATATTTTCACTTTGACAGACTAAAAAGTTTCTATCATACAATTAATAAAGTATAATCTTAACAACATAAAAATTATATCTTTTCCAATATTTATTTCCTTAAAATATAAATCATCGATAAAGATGACCTGACCTTTCAATTTAAATAAATTTGTGTTTATTTCTTTCATAGTTTATAACTTAAACTTCTTATTAGAAAAATAAGCTTTGTTATCCTAATGATGTAGTAATTAGACTTAATAGCATTTTCCTTCTTTTTTTTATTTTTTAGTTTTTTTTTGATATTTTAATTTTTTAATTAGATAAGCTTTAATTTTATTTTTTATATTCTTTTTTTTATTTATTTGAATTATTTTAAAAATAAATAATTGATTGATAAGATTGATTAAAATGATTTGATAACTAAAATAATATCTTAATTATTTTTAAAATTTAAATTGATTTTAATATTTGAATATTAATTATATATTTTTGAATATTTGAAATTTATTTATTTACAAATAAATAATTAAATATTTAATTTTTAAATGAAAATTCTAATTCTTATAAGTTTAAGTATTTAAATTTAAAAATAAAGTTTTTTTTTAAGATTATATTAAATAAAATAAAAATGTTTTTTTGTTAAAAAAAAAATATATAATAGTTCAAAAAAAAAGATTAGAAAATTAATTTTCAGTAATATTAATTGTGCAACTATAATTAATTATATAATTGTAATTAATTATTAAATTAAAAATTATCATATTATTTTGTATATAATTTTTTTATAGGAAAAAGCAAAAGAAAAATAATAAAATATATTAGAGTTTTAAATCGAATCAAATATAATATATTTTGTTTAAATAATTTGATTAAATTGTTAGATTAGATTAGGTCAGATTAGGTTAGGTCAAATGAAAATTTAAATAAAATCAAATTTTATTTGATTTGATCTGATCCAATCAGTTTAGGTAAATTGATTAACCTGATTTGAACTGTTTTGTTTAAAGCTCTACATCTTACAGAATAAAAAATTGATTTTAATGAATAATAATCAATAAATATTATATTGCAATAATATTTCTAATTATAAATAAATTAAATTAATTAATAAGATAATATTAAAATTTATTTATTTAAAATTAAATTATTAAAAATTATTATTTTATAATATTTTAAATTATAAAATATATAAAATTTTATTATTAAAATAATTCTATAAGATATTGTTATACTAATTTTATAACATTTAAAATTTTACTATATATATATATATATATTTGAAGATATAAATACTTAATTTTGAATTTTTAGGTTTTGAAACTTTTTTTTTTGAATAATAAAATTGAGTATTTTCAATTATTTCTAAAACCTAATTTTTAACCTAATTACATATTTGCTTTGTTAATAAGTTTATATATTATAATTATTAATATGAATCAAAATTCTCATTTTAGTTAAAAGGATCTATAACCTGATTTTAATAGCTTAACTCTTATATAATTAAATTATTCTTATAATACTTATTATTTCTATTAAAAAATTCCAATTTAATTTTAACCTTTTTATAATTTTACTATAATCTTGATGATTCTTTTTTCATTAACTTTTACCAGCGGTTCCAATCCTTTTTCAGAAAAACAACACCAAACCATTAAACCTCCATCACCATGTTTTATTGGTGGAACTATATCGTTAATATTAAACCTTATTCCAGGAGTTCTCCAAACACGACCTTGACCATCACTTTAAATTATTGTAAAGCGGCTTTCATCACTCCAAATGACTGATTTCCATTTTCTAATAAACCAATCTTTTTTTAATACAACAATTTAAATGATTTTCTCTTGTTTATCATTAAGAAGAGGTTTAAACACTGGAATACGCGAAAAAATATTAAGTTCATGTAAATTTCTTATATTCTTGGTGGAAACTTGTATTACAGTCTTCTCTTGAAGTTTATTTTTAATTTTTTCAGCTGACCGACGATTATTTGTGTTAAGAATTTTTTTTTAATGTTTTTTGGTGTTCATTATCCAAAAGTTTGGACGGTCACATCATTGAGTTTTTAAGACTTTTTCCTCACAAAGCTTGAATACTATGGTCTTAGAAAATTTGAGTGTTTTAGTTATAAATGCTTTGTGGCGCCACCTTTATAAGACCAATAATTTGATTGCGATCTGATTCTGTAAAGTACGCATCATAATTACATAGATCATAAGTTGTCATGTGTTAAACTTTCAGCCCAAATTATGTATATGAGTCATAATTTGAGGTCCGCTACTTTTGTCCAAGCAGTGTATATATGCAGAAATTTCAGATTTTCAAAAATCCTTCTATTTTAGCTGAATGACCCAGTAATTTGTCTCTTACTAAATGACTAGGTCCGAATTCGGTGTGTGGGGTCATTACCGTTCTGCAAAAACTCAAACGAAACACATAAATAAGTTTAGTCACTTTATATTACGGATATCTTCTATTTACCGAACTACCTACCGTTATAACCGAAACCTGAGAGAACGGAACCTAAAAAAAAACAAATATTATTAGCAGCTTATCAGTCCCAATAAATTGAACCAATAATTCCATTGACAATTAGTAGTTTATGCCATCTGACGAATTCTAAACTAGTTGAGTGTTAAGAATGAAGAGAGTATTGATTGTAATCTTTAGTATATAAAAGCTACGAACCCGAGTGTAAACATTCAAACATTGTTAAATATACAAAACGTAAAAAATTTCGTTTTTAGATATTAGCCAGTTTGTGTTACTAAATATTAATTTCAAAAAAATTAATTGGTTTAACAATTTTATTTAAAAACAAAGATTCAAATTCATACGCTAATGTAAATAAATACATCTGTATTGAATTTGCTTATAATCAAATTTTTTAATATTTAAAACTAAAAAAAAAAACTATACTCGTTATTAAGATTCAACACCTTTTGATAGAAACTGTTGAACATCATCATTTATGAAAGGTTGATTAATGATCTCTTTAATACTATCAAATTTATCAAGTTCATGAAATTTCTCATTCAAATTATCTTTAGTTAAAATATACCCAAATAAGTCCAAATTACGTTCTTTTTCATGATTATCAACCTTTAAACTTACAGAATCTGAACGCAGGATACAGATATGTATGTCTATTTTAGTAGTTGTCTCGATATTTGCTAAAGATTTGTTATTTTCACCAAGTAGAACTTTGGAACTATCCAAACTTGATTCATCATAAATTAATTCAACATTAATAGCTTCATCTTCCCAATTATCAAACTTAATGATACTAAGGGGCTCATAATTGGTCGATGGGTAGTATACATTAATAAGAATGACATTTCCTTTGGATAAAGGAAGCGTTTTGATGCGATAGTTTGATATTCCGGCTTTCAATGCGATGGATTCTTCAATACGATCAACTTGAATATTTCTATTATTTGGACTAAAAACCGATAATTTCATAGGATTTCCAATAATCATCCATGAAATGTAACATCTTCTGATATCGACCTTTGATTTCTTTAAAGGTTTTATAATTGCAGAAAATCCATTAACATCGAATAACCTAAATCTTACAAAAAAATCTTTTGACTTTAAATATTTTTTTGTAATAATTGACCCAAATACTTCGTAATTTTCATCTTCCAATGATGAATCTAAATTTATTCGCTTATAATGTTGGACGTTGCTTTTATCCAAATCTTTCAAATCATTTATTCCGGTCATTATAATTTTCAAGTTATTACTTAATATACAATCTACTTTCTTTTTTTGTTCTGATTCAAGAATATCGTACAAAGAAATGACCTCGTCATATTCAATAATCTCTAAATCATTATTTGATTTTTGAACACAATTATCATAATCTTCAATAATATCACCATTTTGCGTTGTGAGATATGAAATATTTAATTTATTTAAATATGATCGTAAAGATGTTATTGGTAATTTCAAATTTATCTTTTTAAAATCACCAAAAAAATTTGTGGTTGAAATGTTTTTAAGAGATTTCCCCAGGATAATTCTTAACGGGAATACATGCCCATATTCATCAAATACACCTCGTAAAGCAATCAATGGTTTTATTTCATTAAGGGCTTTGTCTATTGCGCTATTAAATTCTTCTGAAGGTTCGATATGATCCCTATTAATTAAAATTTCATATTTTTCGTATTTAACTACTAAATGAATATAATCCATATTTTTAAAATCATCAAGTTTAATAAACGGAAAAGTTCTAGAATTATTGACCGAGAAAATCTTATTAAATATGAAAATTTCCTCCAATTTTGTTGTTGGATTTATTATCTCAAAATAAGATTCGTCTCTTAAATTCACTTCAGGAACTTCCTTAAACTTGATGGCAAATTTCTTACTACTTTCTATTTTATATGATTTATTGATTGCAAGACCTTGAAATAGGTGAAAATTTTTGATCCACTTTGCTAATTTAACATATTCCGTATTTCCAACCCAATTTTCGAAATTTACCTCCTCTCTATAGTTAGCGATTCCAGTATGTTTATCAATCTCTAGGCCTTTTGCTGATATCCCACTTTTTAATTGGGAAGTAGAATTAAGATTAATATAAGAAATAATGTCGATTATATTATCTTGATATAATTTCCTCATCCAATTCACCAACTTTTTAAGAGTATCTAACGTTAATCCGTCTGACGTTTCTATTCTTGGGAAAAAATCCAAGTCAAAAGGACTATTATCGAACGGAAATTCATTATTGTTTTTGGCTGAATTATATACCAAAACTAAATAAAATTTTAAAATATCCTTTTGTGACGAAGAAGTTAAATTAAAATTTTTGATAAATAACTGTCCACCGGCCAGAAATTTATTTGCGATAAAATGGCCATATAAGTCGTGTAAATTTTCTACTTTGCCCGTAAATTTTGAAAATGAGTTTACTGGGTCGGCTCTATAAGTGATTTCAACGACCGGGAAATTAATACACAAGTCCGATGACTTTAAATTATCATAAACCTCAACTTTATGATTTTCAAAATCAAGTGAATTCGTAAGACAATCAGGATCGTTTATATTAATATAAACTATAGGTTCTCCTTGATATAAATTTATATCCAAATCTCCATCATCAACAAAAACAACCTTTTTACTTGTTTGTATGCTAGGTCCATCTAAAAATAAACCATGATTCAATTTCCACCGTTGTATTATTTGCTGTTCAGTTAATACTTCTATTCATAAGAATCGATTGTTTAGAATATTTAAAGCAATTTTAATATTACACAAATCAATAATATATTAAACTTACCAACTTTCTTTTCTCCATATTCCAAAAGCGAAGCCTCAGACAGTTTTTCCAACCTTTTAATGGCTTTATCGTAACCATTATCAGCAGATTTTTTATACCATATTAAAGCCTTATCAAAATCCTTTGTTGTACCAATACCATCTTCAAAGCAAACAGCAACATTATATTGCGCAACATTATTTTTCATAGTTGCGGCCTTTAAATATAAATCTAAAGCTGCCTTTTTATCGATGGAAGTTCCAATACCATTTAAGTAACAATAACCCAACATATTTGTACCAAAAGAATATTCTCCTTTTGCACTTAGGCTAAAATAATAAAATGCTATATCAGAATCTTTTTTAACGTGAATTCCGAGCAAATAAAAATTTCCAATATGATATTGTGCAATAGAATGACCATTATTCGCTGCATCATTATAATAAAAAAACGCCACCCTTTCATTTTTTTTAATTCCTATACCTTTTTCATAACAAAGCCCTAATGCAAATTTACTCGCTATACATTGACCTTTCTTGGCGCTCTCCTCATACGTTGTAATTGCAGACCGTTTATCAATAGTAGTACCTAATCCAAATTCATAACAAATTCCTATGTAATATTGAGAAATAGGATGTTTTCTTGATGAAGATTGATCAAAATAATTAAACGCTTCACTAACGTTCAATTGTTTTCCAAATCCTGAAAAATTCAAATATCCTTTTAAAAATACAAGATCTAAATTTGTCATTTCATCCTTACACAACCAGTCATAAATTTCTTCAATGGTGAATTTATGCAATGATAAATAATCTCTCAGAATTGAATGACGTAGGTCACGAGATTTTCCTTCATTTATTGCCTTTACCAATAAAGTTATTAATCCTGTTACGATAGTTTTTATGTCTACTTTATTTAAATTATAATTGATGGGGGCAGAAACGAACGTTAATTCTTTTGAATTCATATTATTTGAAGTAAATTTTGACTTATTTAAATTATTATAGGTGTTAATCTTATTTGTTATATCCTCAGAAATTAATTTTAATTCTTTTATATTCAAATGATCAGAAGTTTCCCCATATGATAAATCATTTTGAGACAATGATGAATTAATTTGTTCATTTTTATCTATTTGAACATGCATTGTATTTGATGTTGCAATAATTATTTCTAACTTATCAACTACTTCATTCATAGTTGGACGATTGTCTGGTACACCATCCCAACACTCTAAAGATAAAGTTTTAATCAAGAAATAAATAAATATATTAATGTATTCTTGTTAAATATAAATAGTGTATTTACCAGTATATATGTTTACATAGACTTTGGGTGTAGCAGGAATGATCTTTTCTCTAAGTCCTTGTGAAATATTAATAGCTAAACTTAAGTCGTACTTTTCATCCAAAAAAGGAGGACGTCCACTTGATATCTCCCACAAGAGTACGCCAACACTATAAACGTCGCTCTTTTTATTAAATTTATATGTATTTTTATATTCAAAACTTTTCGGATCAATGTAAGGAATTACTCCAATAATTTTTGATTTAGTTTCTGTTTCAATTCTTCTCGATAATCCGAAATCAGACAATTTAATTTTACCTTGACGGATTAATATATTTCCGGAATGCTAAATAAAAAAACTATACATTAATTCTTAAACATTTTTCATAATAAATAAATATATATTATGTAAGATTACCAAATCACGATGTAAAATTCCATTTTCATGTAAACACGATACAGCACTAGCCAATTGATATGCCAATCTGTATTTATCATTCCAATCAAGTTTATCATAATTGTTCTTCAAATAATGTCTGAGGTCACCGCCATCAGCATATTCCATTACTAACAAACATTTTTCATTTTGATTTTGATTTCCTTTTTTTTTTTTTTTTTTACAAAAAAAAATATAATATAAATGAGTTAAAAATACAATATCAATATTAAATCTATAATTAACCTCATTATTTTAAGATTTATACCTTGATTGTGTGATGTAATCCCAAAAAAGCGGATGATATTATCATGAAAATCAACTTCGCGTTGTAGTTCAAGCTAAATGTAAATTTTAGCTTGTTATAAAAATAATTTTGTACTAAATGAACCGAAATACATATTTTATTTGTAGTTACCTCATGAACAAGTTCTTTAACAGTGACATTGTTAAAGTCATGAAACGATTTTAATGCTAAAAATTGTTTTGACGTTTTCCAATTTGCGCGATAAACTTTTGAGAAACCTCCAGAACCAATTTCTTGAAAATTATTAAAATGTTCATATTCATAATATTTTATATGATGTTTAGAAATGGCTTCTTGTATCCAATTAATCGATTCATTTGAATATTCGATCTTTTGCATTTTTGATATGATGGCGTAAAGAAGGATCTTCCTATTGAAAATTACAACCATATTTTATTATGATCGATTGTTACACAATGCAATGTTCAAAAGCACAAAATAAATTTTTTTTTTTCTCCCTAAATGGAAGTTATTGAACTTTATTATTTTTTAAAATATTAAAAATGAGTCTAAACATTGGTTACTTCTTTAATAATGTAGACATATCCGTTCAAATAGACGACCCGCCATCACAACAACCTACGATAATCACATTAAATCGAAAAGATAATTTATCAAATATTCGTAAAGTGCTCGAACAAAAAAATGAAATAAACGATACATTATCATTTGCGCAAAAAAAAAATAATGTATTGGCTAAAATACTAAGAAAAGATGAAGAAGATTGGGTTTTAAATAAAATTTTAGATCATGGTACTCTATACTTGACGAAAAATTCAAATCCTGATTGGAAATTTTTAAACGAGTTTCGTAAATTAGATTATGGGCGTACTATAAATTTTAATGGAATCGATACAGCTAAAAGGAGAGCATTTGAAATGAAGGAATGTAAAATTACTGAATTTGGAGCAGAGGGATGTCGAAAAGGAAACATTGAATTTAACTCAAATGAAGATTGGATGATGAAAACAAATTTAATTTTTACCAGTAATATTAATGTAGAAAATTTGGTAAAGTTTGGAATAACGGTTGGAAAATCACAAAATAAAAAGTTGAAATTTGAAACCAATTCAACTTATCGTTACACAGAATATGGAAAAGCGTCCTTAGAATTTAGTAAGTATTTGGAACCAACAAAGGAATTCATTGATGCGGTGAAAGATGCTATAAAATCTGGAGATGCCGAGGAATTTAAGCAGATTACTGAGGAATTTGGTCAATTTATTCCAAATGAAGTTATTTTAGGCGGGAGGGCCTATTATGAGGGACATAAAGTTTTAAAGGAACAAACTGAAGAAAATGCTATTAATGGAACTATAGATGTAAATGCTGGGCCTTCAGAAAACAAAATAGGAAATGAAGTCATAGTTTCCAATGGAATGACCAAATACCGTCAACAAGAGTGTGCAAAATTGATTGGGGGGCCGCAACCTGATAATCTTGAAAATTTTGATGAGGCAGCTTGGGCTAAATCTTTAAAAGATTTTAGACAATGGGATTGCATTGAATTTAAAGATCCGATTAGCATTTTTCAACTTTTAGATAAAACTTTACATAATCAAGTAATTAAATTTTTAGGAAAAAGAATTCATTATTCAAAAATTGAGGACTATAGTTGTACGTTTGAGAAATTGGGAGAACCTTTTATGTATGAATTACGTAATATACCATCACATATTTCAAAAATTATGCAAAACCAAGATGCTGATTGTGACCTTTTTGCAACAGTTATTGATGCAGAAGGTGTGAAAAAGGATACTTTTAACTGTCAAATCCTTTCTCCCACGAAAGGAAAACCAAGTCTCATAATTCATTGTATTCAAGAAGATTTTAAAAAACGAGATTGCAAATTGAAAATTGGATGGATGGTTATTGGTTACTATACGGATTTAAATTTTATTCTTACGGATTTTGATGTTCAATTAAATATCATTAAAAAAAATTTTAATGTAACATCGAACACACAACCTATGCAAAATAGAGCATTATTAGATTTAGAATATAACTCATTTATCAGAAAGACTCCTTGTATTGGTATTCCTGTGCTAAAAAAGTTGGATTCTACAAATAATTCTCTCGTAATCGGACATCACTTTTTCAACGTTCAGGAAGAAAGTAAAGTTGGATCATACACATATTCTTGTTGTTTGGAGAAAAAAAAATATGTTGATTTACCTGAATTTACTTTTAATATACTAGTCATTTCAAATTACCCTGATAGAAATGCTTATGGCATATCCCCTTTTGAACGTCGAAATATAAAGAACAAGGCAATAAATACAATTAGTAATATGATTAATAGATCTAATCCTTCATTAAAGTTAAAACCAAAATATGTCAGTTTGTATATTACGGGAGAAAATAATTATTGTCCAATTTTTCTAAAACAAAAAGCTAATAAAGTTAAGCATAAGACGATTAAATACACCATCTGTAAAAAAGTTTCTTGTATTTGTAAAAATGAATCATTAAAAAATCTGAAATATTCATACTTTGATCCGAAACCAGGTAATTCTTTTTATTCAATTACTATCATCATTGATATTTTATTAATTAATGATTTATTTATTTTAGATAAGGTTGATACCATTTTTTAATTGTGACATATGCATTTCTTTAAATTATTTTATCCACATACAAATATTTTAGATCTTGTAAATTACAATTATATTTATTATTTATACGTTTAAGCTATTTATTAAATAAATAAATCTTTGTTTTATTTTCGAATAATTATTTCATATGATTGCGCCGATCATAGTTTTTATCACATATTTTTTGTCACGCGGATAATTTCTTCGAGGTGGTAAAATTTTTGAATAACTGAAAGTGTTTCAGAATATTACTTTGTCCATTACCATAAAGAGCTTGATTGTCTATATTTGGTAAAGTGGCTGCTTACAACTGTTGAGTTTTCGTACATATGGCGCAGCAACTTCAATGGCGTTTTTAAATTTTAACCCAAAATCATTGAATTGTTTTGATGATCTGCTTTAATGAATCAATTTATTAAGTAATTCATTTACATTACACATACATTTTATTTACGATTTAATATGGGAAGACAATGATACCAATTAATATAAATAGAATAATTCAATCATTAAATTGGAATTTTTCAAAATTTTCTTCATTGTTTTCATAATAATTCATCATGTCCCTAGACGATTTTAGGAGAAGTGTTCTCATGAATTTGGGTGGTGAGGAACGCGTAGAAGTCAATCAACGACTTTTGATTGACAAGATTTTAGCGCGGTAAAGTTCTTACAGTAGTATCGCAGATCCCCCCAAATCTCGCACGGGTGTTTTTTTACCTCAATTATTTTACTTTTAGATATTCTTCTGAATTTGTGGTATACCGGGAATTAATGCAGAATTCAGGTAAATTCTTTAAATTTTTTTTTATTATTTTCATTCATTTACAATATTTATCTTTTTTTTTTAATAAAGATGATGCGAAGGCATCGAGTGTAAACATTATCTTTGAGACCGAAAATCCGATCACCGGTAACAATGTAACGGGGAATAAAATCACTCGAATTCTATTCAAGAACGATGGTTTCGTCTTTAGACCCCAAGATTGGGATCGATTAAAGAGAATTGCCGAAGGAAATCCCGATGAGCAAAAAGTATGATTTATTTTTTTTTTTTTTTTTTTTTTTTTTTTTAAAAAAAAAAATATTACACTTTTTTATTGAATTTTGATTAAATTCCCTTCTATGATGTTCATAGATAGGAGCTTTCGGTGTTGGTTTCTACTCGTTGTTTTCCGTTTGCGAAAACCCATTGTGAGTTATTTATATAATTTTTTTTTTTTTTTTTTTTTTTTTATTAAACGCTGTGCAACATTTTGTTAAATTTGAAAAAAAAAAAGTGTTTCTTCAGGTGGACAAGGGATGGCTTTTTATTGGCGTGGAGATCATTTATTTGCAGGTCAGGGACCAACTGGCGATGAAGACCAGGTTTGGACAACATTTTTAATGGACATGAGAGAACCCGCAGAGGTAAAATTTAAAAAAAAATAAAATAAAAAAAATTGTGTCGCTGTATTTAACCAGCATTTAACCCTATCTTTTCTTCATCAACTAGTTTCCAAACATTGAAAAATTCACACGATTCTTGGTTAATTCACTGGTAAATCTACAATATCATTATTTATTTATTATTTATTGTTATGTAATAATAATATAAATAAAAAAAATAAATAATAGGGATTTACGGGAAATCTCCGAAAAGTATTCGTGTATTTTAATCAGCAATTGGTGATAGAACTGTCAAAGCGTACTCTCAACCCGAGATATATGAACAGTTCGGGGTTTGACACCATTTCTCCACAAAAACTGTTTCATCTTACTTCAGTGGATATTAGAGATGTCATGATAGACGTTAAGAGACTAGTTGTCCCAAATCAAACTATTGATTTTCAGACAGTCATTGATTGTGAGATAATAGAAACATCCATTTGCCTTACAGTTATTAGTGGAAATTTGGATGTTACACTCAGTAGAGAATTTTCTGCTGAAATGGAGCGAATGACTAAAAAGAGACCTCCCGGTAAAACAACTGTCCAAATGTTATTTGCCCGGTTTGATGATACAAATCATTCTCAAATCTTCAATGATTTGGTTCCATATCCAAAACAAGGAAATATATATATTGGTTTCCCAACTCACCAAACCACGGGATGTTGCACTCACTTGGCGGCTCGCGTAATTCCTACTGTATGTACCTGCGTTGTGCGTGAATTTGTTAATTAATAAAAACTTACTTTATTTATGGTTTTTAACGTTGGACTATTTAGGTGGAACGAGAATCAATTGACTTGGTAGACAAAACCTTGGCTGTATATAATAAAGATTTGCTATGTGTAGCAGGAATATTATGTAGAATTGTTTATGAAGACGATTTTGCTCAAATTAAACAGCTTTATAATGATTTGATCGCTAAATTTGAACCTGACGAAAAGATATTGTCTATTCGTAGATGGCTTGAAAAACGAGCAGCACATAGTTTAGATTACTTTACGTTTAAACCGAGTACGCCGAATCCTGAAGTTGGAAGAATAATAGAATCACAATTTTTTAGTTGTTCGAGACGAGATTTGTCTATTTTGTCAACTAATGGTGTCCTTCCGATATCAGACGTTCGTATTCCTAAGCCAGAAATGGCCGGATTCATAAAAAACGTACCAGTGGTTCCAAAGATTTTATTGGAACAATGTGAATTATTTTTTAAGAAAGCGACTAGCCTAATAAAAGAGTTGACATTTGAAGATGTTTTATTCGAATTAAAAAGTCGATCACTTTGTGAAAATGAAATGGTTGAGCTTTTGAAATGGTGGAGTTTTTATAGGTCAAATGGAAATCATGTTGACTCTGGAGAATCTGAGCTATTCATGCAACTTGCTACCGTATACGTTAACGATCAGATTCGACCTTTAAACACTTTTGATTTTATTTTGAACCCAGGCATAATTCCACCAGATGTTGATCTACCAGCTGAAGTTTTACCATTTTCCATTTCTAAAACTTTACAAAGACAGGATCTTGAAAAATGGCTTGGGTGGTCAACGTTGCCCTTGATTTATTGGGCAAAGTTTATCGTCAATAATCCTAATTTGGAATTGATCCCTGCATTTGCCGAAAAGATTCATCATATTTTAGAAAAAAACTTAAAAATTGCTTCATCGAATGACAAGGAAATAATTCGCCAGTTATTTATTCAAAAGGATTGTGTACCAACCAAATTTGGAATGAAGAATCCCATCGAAGCTTATTTCCAGGATGTTAATCTATTTCCCGATCTGCCAACAATTCAATTTTCAAAACCTTCAAGTGTTCATAATATAATGAAACTCTTGGGCGTTCGAAAAGTGAGAAAAATAAAAATAATATTTTTGTTTCTTTTACATGATTTAATATTGTAATAAGAAATTAATTATCTGTAGGTTGTTGATTTACAAATCATTTTTAGTCGTCTTGGGCAAAAGGATTGTGATCATATGCAACTTGTGAAATATCTCATCTCGGAATTGGATCATCTCAAAGAAAATGACATGATGAAATTAAAGATCACCCCGATCTGGCCTAGAGAAAATTTGGTAGAATCAAAGACTAAGGGTAAATTTAGAAAAGCGAAGCTAACGTCAGAAATTCGACGTTACGTTGCATATGAACTGTATGCGCCCGTAGCACTGCATCGCGAATTTGATTTACCTATACTTGATTGGAGGAAAAGGTGGGCCCGTAGTACACCAGAAGGTACTTTTTATCTCACCTATAATTAAAAGATAATAAGAATAATAAGAATAATATGTGTGTGCATATATATATATATATTTTTTATTAGGAAAACTCTTAATCGACCTGGGTCTTCGAGAATATCCCACACTTCAAAAAATCATAGAATTGGCAGCACCTCCTACTGATCCTAATATTCGTGAAAAGGCACTTAAATACTTTATTGATAATTTTAAAGAAAAATATTCCAAAGAATATAAACCATCCGACGTCAAAGTTGCCTTTTTGCCTTGTTCATCACCAAACATTTATGCGAAGCCTACAGAGTGTTTTATAAACATTGAATGCACGATAATGAAATTCAAAGTTATACGCCAAGATTTACGGTTTAATGTGGGACAATTTGGCGTTTGTCAAAATCCTAGTGGTGAACTACTCAAAGAAAGGTTAATTGAGGATACACCGCAAGATGAAGAAACGGCAAAGAGCGTTTTTGAATATTTGCAATCACAACAGGGAAGTTTTACCACCCATAATTGGTTGGTTCTTGGTGATCTCAATTTTATTCCTATTCGAGATAGTAATCGACCCGACGTAATTATTAAAACCAATCCACGTAGTTGTTTCTTTGATAACCAAGAAAAAAGGTAGCGTTATTTTATAAATTATCAGTTAAAGTTTTTTTTTTCTCTCTTTCTTATCGGTAATAGTTTGAGTAACTTTAAAAGTTTTCTTTAGTTTGAATGATTTCTTTACAAAAATTGATTTTGGGCAAAAAGCCAATAAATTCCTTCAAAGTTGCGGTGTCAAAATCCTACCATATGCAATAGACTATGCCGAATTGTTAGTTAAATCATCACATGTAATTTGGGGTTTAATGGAAGACAATGTAGAGAAATATTTAAATATTTTGAAAAGAATTGCTTTTGATTATCATTACTTATCCAGATATACAGGATTATTGAGAAAGATGTCGACAGAACCCATTCTAGTTGCTATAACAAGTGGACAAGCTGAAGGCAGAAAGGTTCATTGTCGCTTGGCTTCAGCGAATGAAATTTATATAAATGATGATACAATATATCAGCAAGTTTTTAATCCGTTTACGGCTCCAGAAGATTGTAACTTGAAAAATCTGTATATAGTGCGTTACTATCATTTATTTGTTTCCTTATTCTTGTAAAATAATGATTTATTTACTGAATTATTTTCGATTTTAGAAGTTGGGATGTAAATCATTACGCAATTCCGTGACAGAAGTTACGAACCCAGGATATTATGGTCTAGAAACCGAGAATTCTCGAAAGTTAAAGGAAACAATCATGGAACGAGCTAGTTTATTCTATCATGATTATTCTGAGAGTGAGATTAAAAGAGATGCGGAATGGCTTAAACAACTAAAAATTAAGGAGGTCGAGCGAATAGAAGCAAATTATACATTAAAAACCACTCATGAGACAAAAAGCAAGTCTATTTCCACTTGTCTGAAAGAGGAATGGACTAATTCATGGGTGCTTTTTGTGACACCCAACACAAAATCTCTTGATATCTCGCAGCATTTAGTTAGAAGTATCTACGTTTCACATAAATGGAAGGATATCTTTAATCTCAATACACTTTTAATTACACCTTTGTCAAGCTTGGAAAGCATGGGATATCCGATTGATTGCATACCCAACTTAAAGCGTAGCGTCGAGAAGTATAATCAAAAGGTAATTATTTTAAAATCAGATTTTCTACATAATAAGTCACTAATATTCTGTCTTTACATTTCGCTTAGGGAAGGAGTACTGGAACGGTGACCGAAATAACACCTGCAATCACACAAAACCTACGAAATTCTTTACAAGATGTCATAAATGCTTGCCGCGCTCATTCAGGAAGTTCGCTTCACAATCAAGCTAGTGTCAAAATTGTCGACGAAAGTCAACCGAGTTACTGCGACATTATACCTGGTATGTAAAATATAATAAGCATAAATAAATCGTACTCTGTGAATTGCTTTACTTACCTCAATGTTTGTCGTAGGTCATTCATTATATTTTGTTGGAACTTTACAAGGGATTAAGATTTACAATTCTATAATTACTGCTCAATCTATAAATCTCTTTCAAACACACGCTATTTCATTGAACCGTTTTGTGAATTTATTGCGATATCTTGTAGAGGTTTTTCAGCTTGCACCAGAAGTTGTACATATATTCTATGATAATAATTCAAATTCGGTTGCATTTAATCGGGACAGATCATTATTTTTCAATTTAAACTATTACATTGGATTACATGGTGACGAATGTCAATATGTATTTACAAATAATGCCATGAATTATTGGTTTATGACAGTTTGTCATGAATTAGCGCATAATATCGTACTTAATCATGATTCTAAGCATGAAGTAAGTATATTTTGTTAGGTTGACTTTTTTTTTTGTGACGACATATAATCTAATACGGATTTTTTCCCAAAATAGTATTACTTGTCATCATTCGCAACAATTTACATGCCAACTTTCATAAGCATATGTGATAAGTACGGGATTCCTGTATTATAATGTTTTTGTAAAACATCCGAGAAACAATTTAGATAATTTATAGTGTAAAGACGTTAGTCGAATTAACATTTTGACAAGTTATTTATCTCTGTGAATTGTAATATACCAGTATTCTGAAAACATAAAATAATGATAGAAATTGGAATCACTATTTAAATAACAAAAAACAATAAAATTTTTTTTTTCAGGAAAAAGTTATCTTTGCAGACTCATGATACTTAATAATTTCTTTCATAAACTCGGGCCAAATATTAATAATATACATTGAAGTTAAAATTTAACACAGATATTTTCGAAATATAAATGATCAAAATTTAACGCGTGCCATATGATGCGTGACCTTGATGTCAAAAAAAGAATCGATGTTAATAAAAATAGATTATTTTGCGTATTAGAAGTGAATTTGAACAATTTTCAAGCTAGCTACGTCCACAAACTTGTTTTGATCCTCAGCGTTTCGGAATCCTGTAGATTGAAGACATTTATTGCTTCAAAGCTTTTATTGATTGTCATCGTTAAGGCGACTGTTCAAGAGGTTGTTTCTACCAGATATATGATTTTGACTCGTAATCTTTAAATGATGGTAATATGCAAAAGTATCGTAAATTTCCTTCCCTTCCCATGTTTGCAAAAAAAAAGTATAGAATATTAAAAACAAATGAGTTTCGCCACTCATAAACTTTTTATTAACAAATATATTTTAATATATTTGTTCATTCTATTATAAAAATTATTTATGGCCCTTTCTGAAAAAAAAAAAGGTCTTCTATATTCGACACGTTGCGAAGGATTGATTGTATATTATTTTTTTTTTTAAAAAAAAAAAAATGATCATTTCTGACAGACCTGGACAACAACCAAGTCAACTTGCGCGACTTATACAATGAATGATAAGGTTTTATAAAGATCAAAATAATAAAAACTTGGGATATTATTGGTTAGCATCATATAAAAATTTTAAGCTTTTAAATCAATGCTTGATACATTGAAAAGATCATAAAGAGACGAAAAATCACCTTCATTCCTTCTTCTACTCCTCCTTCTCAATAACCTTCTTTTAACCAAATCGTGGTATAGGAGGACAATGAATCTTTAAAATGTTATCTTGGATTTGTTAATTAAATTATTAGACTTTCTGGTTAAATAGAATGATTTCAAATAAAGAAACCTTTAACTATTCTTGTTCCTCATAAAAAGTCTCCTTCACCTTTAAAAAAAATATATTGTGTGATAAAATTGTAATTTTCAAAATAAAATAACTTACCTTTATTGATAGACTTTATGCGCAGAGTTAAGTAAATAAACGTAACGATTCCTCCAGTTGCTTTTACTGCTAAAAACTAAATAAAATTGTGATGGATTTTCTTTGCGTAGTTTCGTGTCGAACTCTTGTGTATCTTGAAGGGTTTCTCTGGTCAGATATTTCACCTTTTTTTAAAAAAAATAAGATATAATGTAATTAAACAAAATGTAGGCTATAGTATATTTTAAATCAAATTGACAAGTCGCAAATAATAGATCACATGACTTTAAATATACACCAATAAATTCAAACCACATGACTAGATGCACAAACTCGTGATTTATAATCGATCCCATAATCCGACAAAATTCTCATTTTTCTATAAATTTAATACAATTTCAATAGATGATCGGTACTTTATTTTTTTTTCATTTTTTTTTTTGCGATTTAATACTGTCTATTCTTATTATTGCGCACATCTTGATTGTGTAGTTTCATAAAGTCATGGGTGCACACTTGGCTTATGAATCCAAAATAAGTGATGGTTTAAATTCGCTATCTAATAATTGTTGGAATGGAATAATTCCTATCAATTGTTAGCCTTTCTGATAATTGTTGGAATGGAATATGTCCTATCAATTGTTGGAGTCTAATTTTTTTAATTAATAGCGGGTTGGGTGTGAAATATTAGTGGGAAGTAAAAAACATAAAACATTTGTCGAAACTAATTCTACCGGGCGATACCCCGGGGTTCAGAAAAAATGTAAAATGTTAAATAGATTTGATTTTAGATTATTGGTTATCTGGTTTATTTATTATATTATTCATTTATTATTTTTTTAGTACCGCGATTTTTATTTTTATTTTTTTTTTTTTAAAAATTTTAATTTAGTATATAATTTTTTTTATATTTTTCGGTTATTTAATACCGTGATTTTTTAATTAATTTTTTATATTTTTGCTTAATACCGCGAATTTGTAATTTAATTTTTTTTAGTTAATTTAATTTCTTATTTTTATTATTTTATTATTATTTTATTTTTTTTAATTTTTAATTCATATTTTTTATTTTTAATATTAATTTTCGTTTTTTTTATTTATTTTATTTTATTTTATTTTATTAAAAATATTTACGCGATTGGCAAAATTAACAATAGAATTAAAATAGTAAATCATTGACGCAACATCCATTTCACGTGTTCAGGATAAAACCTATCGCGTTCGATCAATGAACTCCGAAAATTTTTTTTTTTCATTCATAAAATAAAGAAAGGTAAAGGAATTAACCTGTCAAGTAATATCGTATCCAATTTCCTTCATTCCTCCTCGCTTTGTACTTTATAATCAATTAGACTTCGGCAGCAGGCACCACCATCTCAACAGAAACTGGTTCTATTGCAAATCAGCAACAACAAATCCAAGAACAGGATATTAGGATGCAAGTCAGTCCTCATTCGCCAACGCAACCACAAAATATTCAACAAACAACAGCACCTATTTCACAATTTGATATTAAATAAGGTCCAGAAGGTCCTCAACGATATCCACAAACGAGTAAAATTCAAGAACTACGCAAGGTCAACCTCTTGATCAAAATAGAAAAGTTCCATCACCCATAAAAGTGAAAAAATACACTCTATCTGAAATCTCGGCACCATCGACAGCTGCCACGACCACCGTCATATTCATGTATAATGTACTTTATATTTTAAACGTAATATTATTAGGTTAAACACTTCTTCTGACCTTATCAAACAAGCATTATCCCGATTCAAAATAAGTGTGGATAACTGAATTAATAATCATGATTAAATCGCAACTTGGATATTATTCAATTAATGTCTCACGTTCATCCCTTGAGGTATTCATCCATTAACTTCATCATTATTTATTATAAGAAGAAGTCTAACCCGTCAGTTTCTCCAATTATCTCTACTCATATAGCAACAGAAGACCTATGATACGTGATGAAATAAATAGTGTCACTTTGTATTTGAATGAAAAGCAAAGAGGAAACTCGATCTCTGAGTAATAGAAATTACGTGTGCGTTTACGCAATCGACTTCTCTGTCTGTGCCAAAACATCTTGAAAAGTTGCACAAAGACATTCGGAGAAGAAGGAATACCTAAAAAAAAAAAACTATATCTGTGATAGGACTTCTACCATTAATGATACATTAGAAAGAGCCATGGAAAATTTGAAATTCTTTATGATTAAAGGAATATTAGAAAGATTTTAATTAATTATTTTATTAAAAATAAATTCTGTTAAAAAAATTTATTGAAAGTTGAAATATATAAAGATAGTATTTAGAAAATCCAATTACAGTATATTCACTACATTCGTCGAGAAAGTACGAAAGATATTTTTGTACGTGTCTTTCCATTATAGAGATCAGCGTTCAGCTCGTTCAGCTGTTACGCATAGCATATACTTGATTTTTCACGTCCCCTATGTCACATCCAGGGACGATGGTTTCCGGTGATTCGCAGAACACCGCAGAATTTTCCTTAAATGCATCTAACTGCAACATTTGTCAAATTATAATAGAAATCACAAAATCACGTGAAATTCATAAGAAATTTATTATTTTTATTTGCAATTTTCATTTTAATGTATTTGATTATGCGAGTATATTCCTTTTATTTTCTTTAGAACAAAGTGTTTCGTATTCTATAGTTGAGCTAAATGGGGATTATCGATCTGTTAAGTTATGCGTAGGTGAAGCAGTTGAAACAACTTTGTCCATTGATGGACAATCTGCGTTTGGAATTATCAAAGGTATAATTGAACATATATGGAACGATCAAGTTTATGTATTAATTTATTTGGACTGGTTGGAAGATCTTGAAAAATGTGATAGTTTATTGGGCTGTCCTATAAATCGTCTCCAATAATTCCTGGGATCGAATCCATCCAATTTCTATTGTGTCTAAGTCACCAAATGTTCCATTCATCAATTATTGTAAGACGGGATGCCTTCACAACAACAAGTCATTACAAACCACGAAATGATTTCTTCTAAACGGCAATTTAAAAGAATTATTTAAATTTGAAAGGTATGTTATTATTACATTAGAATAATTGTTATTGGTTTAATATTATTAATTTTTTTTATTTAGTTAACTTTTGTTACCCTTTCCTATTTATTAATTAAAATAGCCTTATTAATCTGTTTTAGAATTCTTTTGGTTTATCGCAAAGAATCCCAAAAATTGGACGTGTTGGTCGAATAGTTATTTAGCATTTAAGATTTTTTCACAAATATCGGATATGCTGATTATGTAGTGAGATGCTTCAAATTAGGTTTATACTTGAATTTTTAAATTTTATTCTTTCTTTTTTTTCAATTTTAATTAAACTTTTTATATTGTTTTGAATAGTTTCGGAATTTTACTGTAACGGAAAAATCAAGAATTCAAAACGAAATGATGATCTAATGTATGCGGCAATACTAAAATTATTTCGCAAACATATGCAATAATATCTCGCAAAAGGCTAAAATTGCGCTTTTTAATTAATAATTTTTTCAAATATTATTTCATTAAGAATATTTATAAAGTTAAAAATTAGCTAAAATAACCCAATTTCGTTAAAAAAAAAAAAAGAGAGAGAGAGAGAGAGAGAGAGAGAGATCGATATCAGCGATAATAAGTGGCTTAAATTTTGCTAAAAATTTAGGTTAATTTTACCTAACCTGATTTTCATAAAATTAGTAAAGAAGGTTTCTTTTGGGTAGTGATTTTAGCATGGATACTTTGACATGTTTTAAATGTATTGTTTCTGAAAAAAAATTTTTATTAGATAACGGTAAGTTAAAAAAGAACAAACAATCTTTCATATTACAATCGGGAGTGAATCGTAAAGTTTAAAATTGCCGCAATTGATTTCCCATGTGTTACCTCATCAATGAATTTATTTTTAGATTTTATTATATAAGTAAACATTTTAACGGCAATGCACTCTTTTTTTCACCTCTCACAAAAGTTATGCTAAATTACAAAATAACTTTTGCTGAAATTTTTGAATACGACCTTGACAAGGTGTTTAGTAGTGGTTTTCCATCATCATTCAATAAAATAATACTTTGATTTTAATTAGCATTCCGGCGGCACCAAAGCTTCTAATTTGATTATGTATTCTGAAATCAACGATATTTATTTCAAACTTGTAAATCATTTTTAAATGAAAGTTTTTGCGATTAAGATCACAAGCAAAAAAAATAAAATGAATTTTATTTGATGCTTGTGTTTTCCAAAAATTAAAATGTTTTGATTTATATTAAAAATTATTATCATTTTATTTTTTTTCGTTAGTATGATAATTTCTTTTTATTCACATTTTTATCAATCAGAATTTAAATATGGAAAGAACCGGATAGTCGTATCGATAGATAACATTCAGGATTGTGGCACAAAGACAAAAATAGTTCTGTAAAAAAAAATATATTTCGATAAAATATTTTATCATATCCAGAGTATTGAATTCAAAGACTATTTCATGTTAATTCTCGATCCAGAAAAAGCGATAAAAAAATTTTTATTAGCTTATCATTCAATTTACATAAAATTCTAGAGAATTAAAATTTCGATATAAGAAAATGGAGTAACTGAATTTTCCAAATGAGCCTTTGTATATTTTTACGTGCGTGATACAAGAATTTTTACGGAAGGCTTGTGTAAAATTTTTTACTTTCACAATGTAAAGATATTGAATACTATTCTGAAGTTGAAGATAAATTTGTATTTTATTAATTTAAATTAAAAATAGTAACGATTTGTAAGTTATAATTTTTTCAGAAAAATATAATTTGATTGCAATAAATTCCGGTTAGTCCACAATAAATCAAAAAATCATCGTGAAAAAACTGTCGTCCTCGCTCAAAAATAAATTATTATTATTATTATATTTTTTTTTTTAACCCTTTTAGGATCAAAAAAAAATTCCGTTCCTAAAAAAGAAACAAAAGTTAAAAAAAAGGAATCTTCACAAATAGAAAGAAAGGGAAAGAACTTGCTCCTTGACAACCAATAATAATTCCGATTCTCTAATATAAAATGAAGAAAAGATAGGTGACCATAAATGGTATTGTAACGAAAAATCTTGAATTCTTTATTCATTCCCAAATTTGTTTTAAATACGCTAAATTCAATTGCATATAAAGAATTAAATAAATTTTTTGCTGCCGACCGATTACAACAGTACGTCGAAAATAAATAGCTTTAACAGCAAAAATCAAGAAAAGCTTCAGATATTAGCAAGGTAAAGACGTTATTCATTATTCTCTATTTATAAAAAAATGGTAAAATAAATTAGAATCACGTGATTTAATTATCAATGTAATAAACAAATGATTTTTATATCGATAAAATTTTGCATGCTAATCAACTAATGATCAATCAAACCGTTACCATTACTACATAATACTTTAGAATGAATTCTTGCAGTGTGTGCTTTATATTGAGGAGTATGAAATAAAAATAATAAATACTGAAAAAAAAATGGTTACCGAAGATCCATTGCAGGAATGGGTTAGATCCTTTTTTTTTGAATAGAGTATTTATGGAAATTCATTAAGCCATTTTACAATATGGTTAAAATTTAAACCGAGGGCTGAACTGTCCTTGCATAAAAGAGAATATAACAATTGTAAAAATTCATATTCATAATGGTTATAAAAAGAAATTTAGAAAAAGCATGTACAGACTTGGAAACTAGAATTAAGGAATTAGAACAAAGTAACGAAGGGTTACGTTTAAAATTTAAAAATTTAGAGGAAAAATTTAAAAAGCGAGAAGAAGAAATCAAAACCAAGCAAGAAACCATTAAAAATCTAGAAGAAAAGGCTATAGAACGAGAAGAAATAAACAAAGACAACCAAGAAATTATTAACGAATTAGAAAAAAGTATCAGAAACCTTGAATCATTTATCTATGATGACGTTGTTAGTTTAAACATTAAAGATACAAATAAGGATGACATATTAAACGCTTTAGGAGGATTGCAACGATATCGAAAACTAAAAATACTCGATTGTAGTAATACTCAAATGAATAGCTTACCAACTTTACCAAACTCCTTAACGGAACTCTATTGCTATAAAACTAAAATAAAGAGTTTACCAACTTTACCCGACTCCTTAAAGATACTCTATTGTAATAATACTCAAATAAATAGCTTACCAACTTTACCCGGCTCCTTAACAAAACTCGATTGTAGAAATACTCACCAAACTCCTTAAAATTACTCTATCGCTATGAAACTCAAATAAATAGCTTACTAACTTTACCCGACTCCTTAACAATACTCAGATGTAGTAATACACAAATAACCAGCTTACCAACATTACCCAACTCCTTAAAAATACTCGGTTGTAGTAATACACAAATAACCAGCTTACCAACATTACCCAACTCCTTAAAAATACTCGGTTGTAGTAATACTCAAATAAATAGCTTACCAACATTACCCGACTCCTTAACAATACTCAATTGTAATAATACTCAAATTAATAGCTTACCAACTTTACCCATCTCCTTAAAGGAACTCAATTGTGGTAATACTCAAATAAATATCCTACCAACATTACCCGACTCCTTAACACAACTAATATGTCATAAAACTCAAATAAATAGCTTACCAAATTTTCCCAATTCCTTAATGAGTATCTGCCCTCGATCTTTAAGAACTAAACATATCAATAACAATCATAATCTTTAACCTTTGAAGCCGTGATCTGTGACTGCGCCTTAATTAGTCATGTGATTGAAATGATTAACAAAGTTGACGAAGTGGATGAATTGGACCAAGTTGCTAAAGTGGTCATTGTTGATTTGATCTATTTAATATATTAGATAGATTAGTTATAATTATCATAATCGTTATACTTATTAATTATATGATAGTTATTAGAGTATTTATATTTATCTTATTTATTTATTTTATCTTTTATTCATTATATTATATTTTATAGTATTTTATTTTGTATAAATATCTTATCTTTTCCCTTGAGTTGAAAAGTAACTCGAGATCGGGTTTTAGAATAAACCAAGAGTTCAATAAAGAAATCTTTAAATTTATTTACTATTGCTTTTTGTCGTGTCTTCATATAGGCGTGATTGTGATATTGTCTTGTATTTAATTTGACAGATTGAATTAAAGTTAATCAAATAAGTTTACAGATACTAAGCCAATACTTTCTATATATGTTCATAATTTCTTTATGAAATATCCGCATAATAAATTTTATTAGATTTAGAACTTAAAAATTAATTTTGTTTATTTTTATTTTTAATAAGCGAAATATTTATGGAAATTTTGTCATGATATTGTTTGTAATATAAATTTATTTATGAATTTTAAGAATAAATATTTTATTAAGGAAATTAAAATCAAATCACCGTATACAGTTTCAAATACAAAACTAAAGATAGATTATTAATCAACTAACGAATTTTAAGAATTTCTGCTTGCAATAAAATGGAGAATCTCTTTAAATCTGTATTTATTTATATTTTATTCAAGATATTTTTATATATTTTATACAATAAATATTATTCATTATACGTAAAATAACTTAATACTTTTTAAGTTGCTTTTAATGTTCATGTATATTAAAACCAATTTATTTCAGAGAAGCTTGTAAAAGGAAATGCTTTATAATATCATTGATCTTTTAGTTATTTATTTTCAACTATTACAAATTCATTAAAGTTAATCTAGCCAATTATAATTAACTGTTAAAATCGAAACTTTAATATAGCTGTAAATTACATTGTTAATACTCTAAATATAATAGATATAATGAATAATACTTCAAGATATGTGACTTCACTCGAATTATAGTCCTAAATTTTAAGATTCACTATATATTATTTAAATGACAAGATGTATTAAG